CACCAAAAAATAGAAAATTTCAACATTTTTTAGGTGAAAAATTATATCAATTGACAGTTCCAAATAAAATAAATTCTAGGCAATTCAATTCCCTACAATTCGTTTTCTTTCCACTCAAATTCTATCTTTGAATCAAACGGACCCTTGTAGTCTTTCAAACTTCATAAGTACTTTTGAGAATTTTTTGCTTTATCCTTGTTTGATGACCATTATTTTGAAAAAATCATATTTCGAATAGTGATTTTTAGAGAATGCATGGTTAAAAAGTAGAAAAAAATTTAAATTTACATGCAAAATATTTTATTGTGTGAATATATAGTTGAAAATAAGGATAAAAATTAAAAAAAAAATTGTTTTAAAGGGAGACAAACGAATTGATAAATGATTCTAGCTATATTCAAAATGTAAGTTTTCGAATAACATACTAAAGAAAAAATATACCATTGCAAATAAAAAATAAAGAAATTGAGTGTCGGTTTGAAAATGGAAATTAAGGAGTTGTTTGATAAAGCTTTTGATTTTAAAAAAGGTAGTAAATTCTGATTAAAAAAGTAATAAAATACATGATTATAAAATTAATAAAAGTTGTAAAACACGTAGTTAAAACTTAAAATTAAAACCAGATGAATTGAAAATTTAATTAAGTGCTTGTTTGTTAGGAATTTTTGGGGGAAAATTGATTTTTGAATAGTGATATAATGGGAAATGTGTGGTTAATAAAAAGAAAAATTATTGATGTAATGGAAAATATTATTTTATTGAAAAATGTGTGGTCGAAAATGAGAATTGATTTCTCAAATAAAAAACAAATAGTCCCTAAATTTCAATATACTTTAATCAAACAGGCACATAAGTAGGGCTGAGCCCAAAAACCCGAAACCGCGGATCCGACCCAACCCGATTAGGTTGGGTCGGGTCGATTTTGATTTAAAAAATGAGTTGGATCAGGTCGGATCGCGATTTAAACCATTTCAAATCGATCCAACCCGTCCCAATGCCCACCCCTACACATAAGTGCCATTATATAAGTGACTTTTGAGAAAAAACTAAACTTTCAGTAGAGATTAAAATTTTAAATTTTAATTTAAGTCAAAACAAATAGTTAATTTTATTCACATATTTTATAAGATTCATAATTTTTAATTATTTATTTCATCAATTTTCATTAAAATTCTAATTTTAATTCCAATAAACATTGTATAAATGTTATATGGACGGTAGATGGTGGGACGGCGTCAAAATTAGAAGGGAATTTAAATTTACCGAGAAAAGTGAAAGGTAATGGGTAAAATAAATTTGAAATATCCGCTGCGTTTATGCAGGCTGCGTTCGATTGGCATCGCACCTCTTTTGGTGTAGGATTGGGATAATAATATATGTGTTTTCCGTTTTCAGTATTTTTTCAGTTACCTCTGCTCTGCGCTTCTCTTACATTTTGGAGACGATTTCCCTACTCCCTTTGTCAAAAAAATAAAATAAAATAAAATCCATACAAAGTCTTGTTTTGTTGTTATTTAAAATAAAATTTCATAGAGCACGTTTAGAGAGCCGTCAAACTAGCTTATAAGTTTAAAATGACACTATATTGGACTTGAGATTTATTTAAAAGACATTCTTGCACCGTTTAAAGAAATTATACGTGATAATCGACATTTTATACTTTAATGTTTTTCTCGTGGTGTTGAAGTTCGAAAGGAGATCCGCACACATTTGAAGAGCTAATGAGAAAAATGTGATAATTGCTCTAACTGACCTCCCTCCTTAATCAATTCGAGTTGAGTTTAATCAAAGGCTCACACTGATTAAAATTTGCTTATTATTGTTCATTTGACAAATAAAATTCTGAAAATGTGATGCGACCAACAAATTTACGTGCACCCGTCCTTTTTATTTTTAATCGATGAGTACTCGACCACAACAATTCGCATCTAGCAAAGGTGAATGCATCGAGAATAAATTGTTATTATCGTCACAATATTGAAATTCAAACAAAAAGTGTAATTGGCGTAAAGAATTTAGATAATTCAAATTTCCTTAAATTGGTAATAAAGAAACAATTTATTACTGACGTTATACTCACTTGTAAGAAATTAATGAAGACGTTACTGCAATAAAACTAAAAATTTCCACTAATGTCTGAAAACTCAATACTAATTGATAATTCAATTTTCTTTTCTTTTTTTACTTTTTATTTTTATACTAGGTGCAAGCAACGTGCAATACACGTTTGAGTAGTTTATATTTAATAGTTTTGTTTAAGAATTAATTTGTTATTAATAAAGATGTAATTTTTTTGGTTAATTAAATAATTAATGATGTAATGTTTATGTAATTGATACATAANCCGAACCTCACAATGAAGATTTGAGAGTGCTCGGAGTCAATTGGATAAAGAAAAACGTCAATGAAATCAAATTTAGGTAAAAGATGATCACAAACAATTTCCAACCGAAAAGTTATGCTCCGATATTTTAGTCTCATATTGAGACCTATTTTTGGCATAGAAAGTGATCGAATTGAAGAATGATGTCTGAATCAAAGCTGTAGCCAGATGAGTTAGATTTCCAATGCATTTTGAATCGCCTCAATCGGATATCGAAATACAAAGTTATGATAAAAATACTGAAAGAATGTGCAGCTGTCTGTTTAAAACAAGAAATTCAGTTACATAATCCATTAAAACAACAAATTCCGTTAAAAACAAGAAATTTCGTTACATAGCTACTTTTAATATATAGAAGATATGGGCGTGACACTCGATGAGCCTCCGGTCGAAGTTCCTTTTTGTCACAAATGTGGATTGAGGACCCCCAGAAGACCGTATACACTGTTATCAACATGGGCCGTTCATGGGTTGGAGTAAAGGAAATTAGGCCCACTACTCAAAAAAAAAAAACCTAAATTAATACATTTAAAATAAATTAATCTTTCAACAACCGTATT